ACCTCCTCAATGGTCGAAAAAGTCCATAGAAAGGACTTCTCAAGACCTGAATACGACATGAAAACTTCTTAAACAACAAGAGTAAACCTCTATATTTGTAAAAGGAGCAGAATGAAATTCAACACTAAAGGTTGTGAAACTTCATTGCTCTTAAGCTACTTATACAATCCTCTCATAATTCGCAACATGAGAAGGGTAACAACTGAAACTTACAATGATCCCTCTTTCTCAGGCGCACGGCAACGTTCCAAGAGAGCAAAGATCGAACCCAAAGATCACCAACCAAGGACAATTTTCCTAGCCTTGGAATGAACATCCCGCACAATATTTCCTACCTGAACGGAAAAAGAAATGATTAATTTGCTAAAATTACAATACCTGAAACTAAAGAATTGAAAAGAGAAAATATGAGTGAAACCTTCAAGATTTTATCCAAATAGCGAGTTAATCAAGCTAGAGATCACTTGATACGGAAATGTGGTAATAGCATGTTCATAGAGAAGTGGAACACGGGCTAGATCTCCAGAAGACTATTCAAACTTCAAGTAGATCTGCAAAAATTTAAAATAAAATCATAGTATTAACACTTTAAAGAAGGAAAAAAAAAAAAATACCTATTGCCACTTGAAGTTCTTATGCAACCCCCACCTCAGGAAAAGAAGAAGAAGAAGAGAAGATCAAAAGTTTACATAAACTGATTACTTATATTAGAAGCAGAAAGACCATAAAAATGAAATTATATGAATTTCAACAGCATCTGTTGGAAACAACTTGACCTAAAAGCTTAAGCTTGAAAAGGTAAGGGCACAACAATGGTATTAAGCTTTGTAACAGGCATGTTACATGTTACATAAACCAATCCCAAATTCAATAGAAAGACCAACCAAGTATAGCAGGATGTAATAGATGGAGACTCAATCATGACCTCTACTAATATCATATTAGTTACCGTTTAACCTAAATGCTAAGGTATCATGTAAGAGCCCAGAATTATCATTCAGCTATCTAAAACATATCTGATAGTAAATGCCATATACCATAAATTGTTGAAATTTTTCAGAGTCAGAATATCCTGCCTTGCAATCCGTTCTTCAAAATCAGCTGAGCATTATACATCTCCAATGCTTTTCTTATGCTGTGGCAACGTAGAAGGAATCTGATAGATCACATGTAATGTAGGTTACATAGGCAAAGGAAGAATAGTAGAGGATCACAAGCTGGGCTGGCAAAACAGTACAGGACAGATGGAATAGGACAGAGGACGTCAGCACAAGACAGATGGCGAAATGGGAGAGAAGCAGTACAACATTTTGTTACTGGAATACTAAACAGTGGCAAAATGGGAGAGGGTAGTACAACATATGTTATGCTGGGCATTACAAAAGGGATAGCAGATCTGATGGAAAGGCAGAGAGATAGATAAGGGATTTTGGGAGGCAGCTGGCCCGAGCACAGCAGTGTTATCTTTGTTTTTTTTGAATTTGTGCAAGTATTTGAGTCCTTGACTTTGAGTACGTAGTAAGCTTTTAGTTGTTTTGTTTGCATTTCCAAAAGTGTAATACACAGTTTGAATCATTCAAATACAGCTTCAGTGTTGAATTTTCTGTGACATTTCTTTTTAAACTGTTACATTCTTTGTTGGGTTTGTTGAGTTGCTGAATCCACAGAAATCCCATCTAAATCACCTGATTCAGCATCTAGAGTGTCCCCAATTCCACCTCCCAAGATGTGGGCGAGAAGGGTTGACCTTATGTTAGCAGGGGAACAGACACTGATGGTGAAATATACTTCCTCCTTACCATGGAGGCTATCACCACAGAAAGGGGAAACCGATGAGAGTGGGGAGGCAGAAATAAGAGCTCCCACTTTTTCCGGCGCAAGATCTGTAGGGTGGATTTTTTGCATGGAAAGGTACTTCGCCTAACCAAGTTACCGACGAGAGCAAGGTCCTCTCCACGCGTTGTGCATGGAAGGGGAGGCCCTCTATGTATCAATGGAATGATCAGGACCGGGACTGACGTGGGCTGTGTTCAAGGTAGCTTTCCTGTAGAGATTCAGCGGCGCACAAGAAATCAGCCCGCTGGAACTGCTTATGTCGACGAGGCAGACGGGAACTGTGCTAGATTATCGTCAGGGTTTGAAGAAATTGCGGCAATGACAGTAGGAGAAAGGGAGGATGTGCTTTCTGCAGCGTTTTAAATGGATTACGACCTGAGATTAGAGCTTAAAGTGAAGTTGCAGCAACCTAAAATTTTGGGTCAACCAAACTCTTAACCAAATTTCAGTACTAGCCCAAAGAGTGGAAGAAAGAAATTTAATCTTGGAAGAAGCCAAGGAGGGTTGGCCGACAAGGAAATTGGGGGAATAGTCATGGCCCACGTTTAACTTAAACCCAACTGGAATGGAAAGAACAAAATAGGGCCCAAACATACATAACCCAAACCCACATAACCCAACCCAACACCACCCAAACACATTCAATAAATATACAAAGATTCAGCCCCAAACTCAATTTTAGGCGTGCTTCCATCGAGAATAGCTCCAGTTTTGCGTCAACTCCAGCAGACACTTCAGATCTTCCAACTTTCGACGAGGTTTTTTCCTTTCGAAGGTTGACAAAATCCGAGATCCAGAGAAAGAGGGAAAAGGGATTATGTTATAGATGTGATGCAAAATTTTCACCTGGCATAGATGCAGTGAGAAAACAGTTTCAGATTGTTTTGCTGAGGGGGAAGATGACGATCCAGAGCTGTAGAAAGAAGAGGAAAAAGAAGAGGTTGCAGTTGAACAAAATCAAAGCCATGTGGAGCTATCCATCAGCTCGGTGGTGGGATACAAGGGCCAAAAACGATGAAGCTTAAAGAGAGTGTCCACGGTAAGGAATAATTGTGTTGATTGAAGTGGGCTTCCCACAATTTCATTGGTTTGGAGGCAGTGGGTAGATTGGAATTACCAGTGGTTACGACCCATCTTTCAGAGTCAGAGGAGGGAGATGGTTATCGGGTGACATGTCAGGAGGAATGTAAAGCGGTTCCGTTGGAATTACAAGGAATGGTTGTGGTCCAAGATTTTTTTCCATTTGAAATGGGGAGCGTTGATTTGGTACTGGGATGGCATGGTTGGAGACTTTGGGGAAACAGTAATTAATTGGAAGAAGCAGACTATGAAGTTCAGATCAAGGGAGCGAATGGTACAACTACGAGGGGATCCTTCCTTAAGCAAAACACTAGTGTCTCTGAAGGCCATGATTAAGACTGTACAGAGGGAGGGGCAAGATGTAATCGAGTTGGGGAGACTCAGAGCCAAATGGAGAACAAAAGAGAGAATTGACGAAAAATTGGTGGAAGTGCTAAAAAGTTTGGACAGGTGTTCGAACCGCTGGTGGATTACCACCCTCAGAACTCAGACCATTCAATCCATTAGTGCCGAACCCAACCCCAAATCTTCGACCGTATAAAACCTGTACTACCAAAAGAATGAGATAAAGCAAATTGTTAAAGAAATGAGGCTTCCGAGATCATCAAACCCAGTGTGAGTCCGTTTTCAAGTCCCGTGCTACTAGTGAAAAGAAAGATGGTGGATGGAGGTTTTGCGTGGACTACAGGGTGTGAATAAAATTACAGTACCAGATAAGTTCCAATTCCGGCAATTGATGATTGTTTGATGAACTAGGAGGAGGTCGGTATTCTCTAAACTGGATTTGAAGTCAGGCTACCACCAGATACGCGTCCTCCCTGAAGACACCCACAAGACGGCATTTCGAACTCATGAGGACATTATGAATTTTTGGTTACGCCTTTCGGATTAACAAACACACCTTCCACTTTCCAAGCATTGATGAATGAAATTTTCAGGCCGCACTTGCCGGTTCATACTTGTTTTCTTTGACGACATACTCGTTTAGTAAGGGGATGAACGAGCATTCGGGACATTTGGCGACCGTCCTTCAGATTCTACTGGACACATCAGTTGATAGTGAACAGAAAAAAATGTTTGTTCGGGCAGCGACAGATAGAATATTTGGGGCATGTCATCTCAGCTGAAGGCATAGCAGTCGACCCATCCAAGATAGAGAGCATCATCAAGTGGCCAGTACCGAAGAATGTGAGAGCACTCCGTGGGTTTCTCGGTTTAACAGGCTACTATCGGCGTTTTGTCCAAGATTACGGTAAGATCGCAGCACCCCTAACAGCTTTACTTAAAAAAGATGCTTTCGGATGGAACGAAGCAGCCCGAACAGGGTTCGAAGAGTTGAAGAGGATTATGACTAGCGTTCTGGTTCTAGCTATGCCTGATTTTTCCAAAAAAGTTTGTGATAGAAACAGATGCTTCGGGTAATGGATTAGGGGCAGTCTTGATGCAAGAAGGACGACCACTCGCATACATAAGTAAAGGGTTGTCGATGAAGTCTCAGTTAAAGTCAGTTTATGAACGAGAACTCATGGCCGTGGTCCTAGCTACTCAAAAGTGGCGTCATTACCTCCTGGGACAACAGTTTGTTATCCGAACAGACCAACGGAGCCTGCACTTCCTGACTGACCAAAAATTGTTGAGTGAAAGTCAACAGAAATGGGTCATCAAGCTGCTGGGATTGAATTTTGTCATACAATATCGATCAGGAGTAGAAAATAAGGCTGCGGATGCACTGTCTCGCAGAGAAGAAGGGGTGGAACATAACGCCATAACTGTGGGTTGTTTTGCAGGTATGAAGGACTTAGAAGAAGCCATTCAAAAGGATGAGAAAATCCGTCACATTATTCAACAACTTCTGCTTGATCCAAAGGGCCGACCTCCTTTCCAACTAGCGGGCCATCACTTACTCTATCAGGGCAGGTTAGTAGTCCCTAAAAAAGGCACTCACATACAAAACCTTCTACATGAGTTTCATTCTTCACCTATGGGGGGGGGGGGGGGGGGGGGGGGGGTTTTTTTTGAAGGGGGGGGGGGGGGGGGGGGGGGGGGGTGGGGTGGGGGGGGGGGGGGGGGGGGGGGGGGGGGGGGCATTCCGAATTTTTTAGAACCTACAAACGCATTGGTAATGTGGTTTTTTGGGAGGGGATGAGAAAAGATATCAAGAATTTTGTGGAAGCTTGTGCGGTCTGCCAACAGAACAAATATGAGGCCTTGAGCCCTGCGGGATTGTTGCAACCACTACCCATTCCGAATCAAGTTTGGGAGGATATATCTATGGACTTCATTTCAGGGCTTCCGAAGGCTAGAGGGGTAGATACTATCCTGGTGGTGGTCCATCGTCTCTCGAAATATAGTCATTTTGTCACATTGCAGCATCCCTACACCGCTAAGGAAGTCGCTGAGGTATTTATTAAGGAGATAGTCCGCCTACATGGGTTTCCACGATCAATCGTTTCTGACCGTGACCGAATCTTTATGAGTCATTTCTGGGGCGAGTTATTTCGCCAATCGGGGACCCAGCTCCACATGAGTTCTGCCTATCATCCACAAACAGACGGGCAAACAGAGGTGGTAAACCGTTGATTGGAAACTTATCTTAGATGCTTTGTCAATGGTCAGCCGCAACAATGGCCGAAATGGATTCCTTGGGCAGAATTTTGGTTCAACACCACATTCAGTGTATCAGCAGGCATGTGTCCCTTTAAAGCATTGTATGGTCGTGACCTTCTGGCTGTATTAAAATACACAGATCATTCTTCTCGAGTTGATGAAGTCCACCACCAACTCTAGGACCGCAACTACATGCTCCAAGACTTAAAGAACAACCTGGTTTAAGCCCAAAATCGCATGAAATGTATGCAGATAAAAAGAGAAGAGAAGTCAATTTTAAGGTAGGGGACTCAGCCTATTTGAAAATTCAACCATACAGGCTACGCTCCCTAGCAAGACGCCATAATGAAAAGCTTAGCCCACGATTCTATGGTCCATTTGTCATCAAAAACAAAATAGGGGCAGCAGCTTACCAATTAGATCTTCCTCTCTCAGCGCGCATACACAATGTTTTTCATGTGTCTCAATTAAAGAAAGCCATTTTTCCAATTCCCAATAGCCAGCCCCTTCCGAATAACCTCAACGAAAACTTAGTTTTGAATGTGGAACCCCAATCAGTGCTTAAAAAACGAAAACTGTTGAATGAACAATGGGAAGTTCTCATCCACTGGAAAGGACTGCCAGAATTCGAGAGCACTTGGGAGGACTTCCACACCCTCAATACTCAATTTCCCTCTTTCCACCTTGAGGACAAGGTGGCTCTTCTTGGGGAGGGTAATGATAGATCACATGTAATGCAGGTCTACAATAGGCAAAGGAAGCATAGCAGAGGATCACAAGCTGGGCTGGCAAAACAGTACAGGACAGATGGCAACAGGACAGAGGACAATCAGCACAAGACAGATGGCGAAATGGGAGAGGAGCAGTACAACATTCTGTTACTGGAATACTAAACAGATGGCAAAATGGGAGAGGAGTAGTACAACATTCTGTTATGCTGGGCATTACAAAAGGGAGAGCAGATCTGATGAAAAGGGAGAAGAGAATAGACAAGGGATTTTGGGAGGCAGCTGGCCCTCGAAGCACAGCAGTGTTATCTTTGTTTTTCTTTGAATTTGTGCAAGTATTTGAGTCCTTGACTTTGAGTACGTAGTAAGCTTTTATTCTGGTTTTTGTTTGCATTTCCAAAAGTGTAATACACAGTTTGAATCATTCAAATACAAGCTTCAGTTCTTGAATTTTCTGTGACATTTCTTTTTAAACTGTTACATTTCTTTGTTGGGTTTGTTGAGTTGCTGAATCCTATCAGAATCCCATCTAAATCACCTAATTCAGCATCTAGAGCAGTCCCCAATTCCACCTCCCAAGACTTGTAGGTGAGAAGGGTTGACCTTACGTTAGCAAGGGGAACAGACAACTGATGGTGAAATATACTTTGGATGCGCTGAACCTGTTTTTCTTTTTCCTGCAAAAGAGCAGTAATTTTCCAAATGTAAATTTTGAACACATATAACTTTTTCTGGGTACATAGCACTTCATAGCGAAATGAAAGAACAAAATTTATGAACTATACATAGTGACAACAAGAAGAAAAAAGGTTTCTAAAAATAAACATGGCATGCAACTTGAGCCATGGTTCTAGGAAATATAAAGGAAGACCCACAAAAGCGTTATTAACCATAATACCAAACCAGTAGGATGGAATAAGACTTTAAATAATCATTTAATTTGATTAATAGAATGCATCCCTTCAGGCACATATTCTAATAAGTTTCTAATATATATATTATAAATTATCACCTTAATGTTGGTCTCATCTGTCGTATGGAGAATGGCCTGCTCAAATTCCCTGTATGTTTCCCATATTTTACTACCTTCAGCAACATGCACACCAGCAGCAGTTACAGCACGCTCGAAGACATTTCTTCCGTTCGCAATACCATCAGGTGAAAATTCACGTACAGATGGATCATATTCTTGCACAAATCTCAAGCAGTCACACCAAAGTGAGACAGGCTACACCAGAACAAGTTCTAGTCGTCCAATTTTAAAGAACTACTTAGTTAAAGGAACTCTAAAGAACATAATTAATATTTTTATCTCTTGATTCCACATATATGCAAATACTGACTGAAAGTAGCAAGAATTTGATTTCCCACAAAAAGTAGGGAAACAGATGACAACATGCAATTAAAACTTCCAAAATGTACTGCCACTTAAAAAAATAGATTTCCATTCCCAAGAACTTTGAAAAAGTTTATCCTATCGCCTAATTTGGTAGAAAAATTTGATGATGCATCAAAAAGGAACCATGTGTCTTTAAACACCATCACAAATGTAAGAATATTGATATCCATTCTGCATTGCAAGGCCTACAATCATCTCTACCATACAAATGAAACTAATGAGCCATTCTGTCATTAGTACTTACTTATTGGAATAATTCAACCAGTCAAAAGTCATAGATCTGGCAAGCTGAATTTTTTTATCCGAAAGTTATTTTTAGGAAAATAACTAAAAATACCACAAATTAGAATTCTTAAGATCACTATGTTTTAATCCATAAATCAACGTATAAAGTAATTCAAAATCCATGATGATAACAAAAACCTACCAGATAATTAGAAACTCCTCTTTCATAAATCTTCTCAATCCCTAGAAATGCCTCAGGTCTGCAAAGTTGAAGCAGAGAATCAGGAAGAAACTACCTTCAGCTAGATAGAGCGATAAAATCTTAAAGTATACCCAAAGCTTTAGTATCAGTCATGCAGAACAAGAAAAGATCAAAATCTTAAAAATTTAGCTGACCCACCCTTTTATTTTTTTGCTTTGGGCGTAACAGTCATCAGGAGGTGCACTTACTGATTTTCAACATTGAGCTTCATGTTTTGGAGAAACTAATATACTTATACTAAGAGAAATGAGTTTTGCAAGAGGGCAAGCAGGCTGTCCATAAAAGCAATGACAAGAGGGAACTCAAAATCTATAAACAAACAAAATATCAGACAATCGAAAATTATCAAAAACCAACCTCCCAAGTCAACCATCACTGCTTCCTACTTGCAACATATGAAAAAAAATATAAAAAAGAAGAAAGCTCAAAACTTCATTTCTTTTACTCAATTAAGCCGACATTTGAGCTAAGGCTCAGTAGATAGAAGTCACATAAACTTGAATTCAACATCTTTTTCACCATTTAAACTCCAAAAGATAATCACTTCCTCCTTTCAAATGAATCCATTTAATTTTTCTCTTTATACTTTCTCTCTTTAACCATAAACCCTAAGTGATCAGATGTAATCATGAAACCAATAACAAGAGCACAAAATGAAAAAACTAAAACATACCCAGTTGAAATAGAAGCTTCATCTTGAGCCCATTCTTGCCACATAATAGGAGTCAATGGAAGTTTCACTATGCAACAAAAATCCGAGTGCCCTTTTGCCCCATCAAAGCCTATCTTGGTGGATTGCCCAAATCAAGTGCAGCTCTTGCTGCCCAAATTTGTTCGTTTATTCTCTTAGATGGGCATACAAATGAAGTGATATGCTCTACCGTAAAATGATTGTATCATATTTTCATACGCTTGTTTAACAGTATCATAAAGACCACATCATATGTGCACTTATTCATTATCAACAAATAACAAGTGCCTTAGTACATAAAGGAAACAAAAAATGAAACACAATTCCTAGATCAATTCAATTAAACCCTCTCAAGCACTTGCTTAAAAAAAAGGATGAATCTCATACAAATACCATGGAATAACGTTTAATCTAAATCATGGGGATTATGTAAATATTCCATTCCAAAAATATAAAGTGAAACAATTAGGTCTTTTTTGAAGAATGGTACTAATTCAAGATCTAACATGTACAAAGTGAAAACCTCATTCTCAATTCTATGAGAATTTTTAGGAAAACATCCAACAGAATCATGAAGAGTTTTAAGTGAAACAAACATAATCATATCAGATATGGATATGGATATTCATTCAAAACAGACAATAAAAATGAATATACATGTGCGGAAATTTTAATCGGCCAACATACAGATGATATTCTTCATATTCTTCCTAAGATATTTTCTAGACCAAAGACATTTTTTCACATTTTCCACAAGCATGAGATGCAAGGCCATTGCTTTTTTCGTCCTCAAACAGGTATTGTTAGTCATAATTGTGTTTACAGAAACATATTAAGGCAAAACCTTATGTTTTTTTTTTTTATAAGAAAGAGAAGTTTGTCAATTATTGTGCCATTCTAGTTAACATGTAACATGTAACCCCAGGAACAAACCTAACTTCTTAGGGAACATTTCTCTGAACTCATTATTCGACTTCAGCTTCTTATCTTCCAGTTCCCCGGATTTTGGATTCGTCGAGGGCACAACAAGTGGTATGACATTTCTTGGCATGGCAAATGTGTTCCTCCCCTTCAGCTGAATGTTATCACTACGTTTATTAGCAGCACAGTGTGGCGCTCTAGACTCCCTGAAAGTCTGATTACTACTTTGCGCTGCCATTTAACCCAAAGGAGTAAGAAAATAAAATGTAGAAGTGGGAAACACAAACATGCAAATGTCTATAGACTGCATTGCGCACACACACACACACACACATAATAACAAAGATAAAACCTAATTCCGCTTAGCCTACCATGTTCTCCAGAGGCCCCATGACCAGCAAAATGCTCTCTCTTTTGCTTCAAATTTGATCTTACAATGCTTTTCTTCTTCCCAACAAACATTTGTTTGTTCTTTTCTACAGCTGCAGTGAGGTATGCATCATCGGCAAAATCCATATATGCCAGGCCCTTCAAAAATTGACCAAAGGATATTATACATTAGTATGCAACGGTTCCAGACATAGGGCAAGCTGGAATATGGGTAAATCTGTATGGGACTACGGTTGAGTCTCCTAAGCATATCACTTGCTATCAAAATGAAGAAATATGCTCTTAGACGGTTAGACTCTTTATACTTAGAAAATTAAGCAATTTTACCATAATTATGGAATTCAACCCTTCAGCAGGTTTATTTGAGACTGCGTAATGGTCCTTGGCAAGGACATTCATCTTAAAACCAAAAGCGTAAGAACTAAATGATTTATTGACAGCATGAAAGGAAGTAATCAAATTGAAGTTTCAGTGAGCACCCTTGAGAAATTTGATCAAAGATAATGGACTGTATTTAGCAGTTTCTATCTCCTCGAAGCATCAGCCATGCTGATCTCCCAGTCTCATTAAAAGTATTTTCTTAGGGCTAATTTCTGTGGTACAGTCCACATTATGCGTACATATATTGAAGTTTAAAGGTCAGACAATGTTAAATAAGGATTTGACTATAAGACTAATGTGCACATGAAAGGTCCAGTGGATAGCTTTCCCTTTTTCATTTGAAGCATAACGCACAAAGAACATTGACAAATAATGAATGAGAGAAAGAGAGTCATACCTTTGACTTTCCGGTGAACTTGTCCTGCAGAATTCGAACAGATTAAACCGCACCAACATTGCTAAAGAATTTTTTCAGATCTTCATAAGTTGCATGAAAAAAATTTAAAACCATCAAAATTATCTCTTTGTATCTGCCTATCCAGCGTTACTACCTTTAGGATAAAAAGAAATTTATCCTAAAGGCAGTAACCTGATGATGCAGGACGTAAAGGAAGGATGCAAATGGGTATTTAGTCCTTATCTTCTACATTTTAGGATCGAGTATTTGAGTCCTTGGTATCCCTTTCTTGATTTCTCCCTTAAAAAATAACATATTAATTTCTCTCTATCACCTATATAAATCCATATATCTATCTATGATATTCTTCTCCCCTCATCACCTAAGAGCAAAATATATCACTAGACATTATAACTACAGAGTTTTGTCCAACATTTCACAACATCAAGAATCACTAGAAAATGGTTAACGGTACATCCACAAAAAAATAAATGAACTGAAAAAAAAGATGATGAAATGAAATCTATACAAATTTGAGATAGAATTAGATCTAAAAACACAAACTCCTACCTTAGTTAACAGCTATAACAAGCTATGATAACAGCTTTAAATAAACTTAGGGTTCTTACACGAGTGCATTTTCAACCATGCTTCATAGATTTCAATGGCAATTTGAAATCCCATATGACCAAATCCCCACGATCATTGTACAGCAACTGCATATGAAACACCAGACCATATTTTTCTTGACCCAATGTTGTCATTTAACGTTCCAACAGGTAGATCCCATTGACGCCCGTTGTGCATCCAATTCTTTAAGATATTCTAGGGAAAAAACTTCTCAATGCTCTTTTGCTTTGTCTTCATCAACTATCGCTAGCTGAAGAGACTGCTCGTGCATAACTACATTAGAGACACACCTGGTAAGTTTAGATCTTATCAGATCTAACTAAAAAGAATATTATGAGAAACAGAAACAGTGAAACACTATAAATAAATCAAGATTATCAGGCCTGGATAATTGAGAATATCAATGAATGAAGTTAATCAGTTGCAAAATACCATTGTCCAGTAAACTGATTAGCTTGAATAGATGAACTTGAGGGGCTACCGTATTGTCGTAGTTGAAGTAAGAACCATTCCACAATTCCTCATATACAACTTTTGCTTACTGAAATTACACCAAAATAACCTCAAACCCTTAAGATCTACTACATGTGCAAATCCAAAGCAACCTGAATGCTGCCACCTCCAATATATGTACTTACAACAGACAGATACATATCGTATGTCTGATCGGGAAAGCTATCATTCTCATCATCCATCACTATCCCTATCAAATTCGAACAGATAAAAGACTGAACTTCGTTACCGTAACCATATAAGCATTTGGGCAAGGATTAACTTTTGCAGGATTCTGCTCCGAAAAAAAGTTGATACTCGCTAAAGTTTATCACGTAAACTTCAATTTTGCTTTTGGACGAAATTGAGAGAAGTCGTTCAAACATTACTATAATTTTCGGCCTTCATTAGTAACTGCATGACTAAGGACATTGTACATTCAGTCGGCTTCACATTTCTCTCCACCATCTATGAAGGAGTTCAACAACTTTGGTATTCATTATTCTTGAGGAAACCAAACATTAGATAGTAAATGTGACTACATTTGGAGCACAACCTTTTTCCTCCAATATGCAACAACTCCTTTGCCATTTCTAGTTGTCCATTTTACACAGCCCATTGATCAAATTTATATGGTACAACATCTTGGCACCAGTTTCCATGAAGAGAAAATTTCGAAATAGGTCCCAAGCAGTTTCGAATCCCCTGTTTTACAAATCCATCAATGAGGGAATCAAACCTTCAATGCTAACTGCAAAATTATATTTACTAGAGCATTAAAATTTCCAATGCTTCCAAAACAATCCTTCTTGCAGTCCATTAATGAAAATGCTATATGTCCAAGAATAGGAAAAAACATCGTTAAGTGCATCTCAACAACTAAATTCCTGGATCTTTCACCTTGCTATAAGAAAAAACCATAACAAGGTGTATATGAATCACATAGGCTAATTCCTTCTGAATCATCTCTCGATAAAGACTAAGAGCTTCATTGACTTCTTTATCTTGCAATACCAATTGATTAAAGTAGTAGAGCAAACAAACAGTCTATACCCCTTTCTAGTTATAGAATCAAACAACTCCCTTGCATCACCAATCTATCTGCCAAGCAATAAACGTTATAAAATGGTGAAGTATAAATGTTAGGAACCACACCTCTCTAATCATATGTTCCAACAAAGTGTCAGCCTTCTCAACCAATCAACCTTACAAGACCATCAATTATAATACTATAAGTAACAACATTTGGCCTACAAATAACACCAGATTCTTTATTCCCATTAACCATCTCTTCAAGCAACTTAATGGCAACACTTATTTTCTCTGTTTACACAATACACAATCAAAGTGTTGCAAGTGATCACATTAGCCATCAACAACAACAATCATTTTCTTAAACAATTCCTTGATTCCATAATCTCTCTCTACACACAGACCTTTAATCAAACAATTAAAAGTCACGGCATTTGGGCTAAAACCCTTCTTCAAAATCCCCCCCAAAACCGCAAAACTATCCAAAACCTTCAATTTACACAAGCAATCATCAAAACATTCAAAGATCTTAAATCAGGAGACAACCCAGTTGAATTCAACAGCTTATAGCGAAATCACTTCATATGATGCTTCTCTAGCTAGCACTAAACAAAGTAGTGAATGATGAAATGGAGAAAGGGGTTTCATATTAATCATGTAATAAAAAAAGTACAATGCTTCATTCAGAGTAAAGCTACCTGATCAACATTCTTCGAGGAATTTAGCAAGTGAGGATCGTTCAAGGGGTTTTTGAAAGAATAGAAACTTCATTTTTGGAGCTTGAAGATGTGAGGTTGTGTAAGTGAGCTAACAAAAATAAAACATTAACTTTCGAAGATGGGTTTTGAGAGATTGAAGACGAACGAAATAGGGATCTGAATCTCAAAGCCATGTATGAAGAGTTTTTGTGGGTCTTTTTTCGAAGTAAGGTCATTGCAAAAGGCAAATGCATTAAAGAGAAATGTTTTGACAAATTTCACAAACAACCTTTAAGGTTTCAAAATTGCAAACTTATGTTAGTATCCATCTTCTATTCAAACCACCTTTATGATTTCGAAAATGTTCACTTGAAGGTTAAAAATGTAAATCCACGTTAGGTGTTTTTCGTTGAGGTGGTTTTCTACTAAATCCCAAATATCAGTTGATAAACAAACCAATTTATATAAGTATTCAATTTTACCCTTTTTTAATAAAATTATAGATTTAAATAAATGCTATGAACTTTTGTTAATTTACAATGATATATAAATTTTTTATTTTTTTATATTTGTTCTTTAACTTTTAAAATCTACCAAATCGATATTATTACTAAAGTATGAAAACATTGCCACTTCTTCCGAAACACATTCTTTGATGCAAAGTCTATCCAATGAAAATGCAATGTAACAAATTGTTATTTTAATCACATTGGCCTAATTCCTTCTAAATCTTCTCTTGAAATACTAAGAACTTCGTTGACTTCTTTATTCTTGCAATACATCTGAATAAAGTATTGTAGCAAACAACATTAGGTCAATATCCTTTCTAGTTAAAACTTCTTCATTTATAAGAATATTTTTTATGTGTTTATTAGAGGTGGCGTCACGAGGAGCGAAGTCGGATTTGAAGTTCATTAGAGACTAACATTCCAATAATAGATGGAATCAATTAGAAGAGAGAAAATTTTATAGCTATAAGACTTTTCTATTTTAATTTTTCAACGCATCATATTCTGCGAGAGAATTAATGAAATATGAGATAGAATCTGAACTTTTCTTCAATGTTTTCACATGCTAATTCTTTTAATTAATTTCTCTTATTCAATGGTA